TGCATTTGAGATATCAAAAAAGTACTCCAGAGTGTTGTTCAGCATGGGGGTGAGTAGAAAATGAAGGCTAATCATGTTTTGGGTGTACTATTCCTTTAATTAAATCTAACTTTAGCGACCTGTTCAGCCGTCCGCCCAGCTCCATCGTTTTACCAACAGACGTATGTCTACACCTGGATTCTGGAAAGAGAGAAAAGATTGGATTCCTTTGAAAATGAATGATGCTCTAAATGATGTCATGTTTTCTGGACCATCATTCCCAGCCTCTTCCTGACACCATTAATATCACCCTAATATAAATATCAGATCCACTGTGCTAAATGAAGAAATGCTAAACCTTCCTTTCATTTATTTATCAATGACTTTAAAAACTTTTTTTCATCTCTTAAAACGCTAAAAAGACAGATATGCCACAAAGAATGATTTTTGTCTTCTCCCAGCTTCTGCTGTTCTAATTGCATCCAGTTTTTTATTGTTGTTCATATTTTTATGGCTCTTTCTATATTAGATTTAAATGTTTTGTAATGAAATAAACCTGCTGCTGTTTGTTATATTTTGTACTTTGATATCTGAATAAAATAAAATAAATGAAATAAAAAAGGCTGGACGGGTCGCTGAAGGAGCGGCTTGTTGACGTCTCACCTGCCCCCTCTCTCCTCAGCCGGGTCGAGGTCTGCCCGGATACCCATCCTCCCCCGTCCCCGGGAACCCGACTCCGCCCATCACCCCCGGCAGCTCCATGGCGCCGCCCTACATGTCACCTGGTAGTACGGACATCAAGCCCATGCCTTCCTCCTTCATTTCGGACATCAAACCCAACGTGGCCGGCCTGGCCCCGCCCACAGGTACGCCCAGAAACCAGTGATTGACTCCGCCCACCTCCTTCCTGCTCAAAGCTCATGTTCTTTTTTTACTTTTTTTTTTTTTAACCAAATTTTTTTTTAAGAATTTCAAATTAAAATGAAAACATTAACACTTTTATGTACAAAATTATTTAGTTTTAACCTTTACTCCCCCCACCCTCCTGCTGCTCGCCCCCTCTCCACTCCTACCCAATGCTCTGCCTCTCGGTCCACTGTGCTCAGAATATACTCTAATCCTCAGAGAGTCGGGCCCAAACTGCCCCGTTGATGATAACTACATATATGCAATGTCCAAAAACCTGTGCAGCCGATAATTACGACATGTCACTGGGTAGTTTCCATCTTTGTGCTAAGAGTTTGGTTGATTACGGTAAAACACGTCAGCCATTTATTCCGTGTTCCTTCATGAAAATAAAGGTGAGTGTCATTATTTAATAAATGTACAAACGGTTCCAAGGTCAAAGACGTTTGATCACCTCAGGCTCCTGCCACACCTTGCTGATTCATCCAGCGTCTGCCTGACG